TGTTCAAGGACATATAAAATCATTGCTAGACCAATACAGGGTGGGTATACAGGAGTGCTGGATGGATGGTATCCCAGGAAAAGGTGCTTTTCAAGGTGATCTGTAGATCATGGAAGCAAACGCAGTCAGTGTGAACTTGGGATATGATGAACAGCAAGGTGGGCTTCTCTTGGATGGTGTTATGTGTACATGGAGTTGGTGGGACCAAACTGGGGCTCAGGCATGGCATCCATGCTGGAGGGAGATTGCAAAATCCAGAGAAGGCAGAGAGGAGAGTCATGGAAAAAGCCAGGGACTGAAGAAAATGTCTTGCAGCTTAGAAGTTTGGAGAGTTCTGTTGAGTGTAACTGGGGGGAGAAAAAGAATGAGTGGGGACATGGTAATGACACTACAAACACTAACAAGAATGGAAAGCTCTGGCTACTAAAGAGGTTTTTTAATCCAGCGTAACAGAGAATGACTCAAAGCAGAAGCCAGACAGAAACAAATTAGGACAAGGGCCCAGAGTTACAGCTGGGAGGGTGGTTGCTCTGGGAACCAGCTGCCAAGGAAGCAGTGGTTTGCATCGGGTTTTGGCCAAACAGAAGTTCAGGGCTCATAGTGGTTGAAGTGGGTGAACTTTGGTGCCTCCACAATATTTAAGAAGTCTGACTGGCCAATATAGTGATTTCTACTCCCCTTCAGCTCCATCAGTCTGAATGTTTGGATTTTGAGAAATGCCTGGAGTACCAGATCCCTGTCTGTGGCAATGACTTCTGTCGGCACAGAGCCAGGGCCAAGGTCCTCCTCCTACATCCTGAGCATCTGCCTGAGTTCCCTTGCCCCATGCTCTGGTTTGTGCCCTTCTTGGGATTAAAACCTCCCTGTTACCACAGTAACTCATTTCACCTCGCACATGAGTTTGTTGGAGCAGGTTTGGGGAATTTCACACCCTCCCCTTCTCCACAGTTTGGTTTCAGCATGCCATGTTGAATGGATTGCATCCCTGCCCACCCTCTCTGCAGACATTTGTGAAGTCTGTCTCTTCGTATCCTCTGGAATCTGTTTTATATCAAGGGATTGATTTCTGATACAAACTCCCCCAGGTCAGTACTGTAAAAAAATCTTTGCCTGTGCAGCTACGCCAGGGAGCATCCTCTGGATATGTTTATCTTATGGAGCTGTACCACCTACAAAGCATGTCAATAAAATTCTCATCCCTGCTCTGACAGTTTTAATCTAGCTGGCAGCTTAAATATAGACCAAGGGGAAGGGGAGGCTGCTAAGAATTGCACAGACCTCTCCAAACAGTGCCTTTCTTTTAACAAGTGAACATTTGGTTATTACATCCTTGAGCTTTTCAGCATCTCACGCTGTCAAGAACTAATAAATCCTTTAGCACCTCGCCGTAAGAAGAGGATCTGATAGGATGTAACAGGCGTGTGGATCGTGCAGAGAGTCATAAACCACCTGTAGAAATCACTCCTCCTCTTGCCTTCTGCTCTGCTGGAGTAGCTTCTTCTTCTTTTTTTTTTTTCTCTCTTCTTTTTCCTCTTTGATTCAATCTCATTTATAAGAGAGGCAGGAAAGGAGGAAAAAAAAATAATAATCACGTTTCTTTATAGCACTTTTCCTGGCCCTGCTTACCCTTTGTAGAGATGGGCAAAACCTGGCTTAAGATTCTTTTTCCCCCAGGAAGGCATCCCAGCAGGATTTTCATAGAATGGTTTGGGTTAGAAGGGACCTTAAAGATCATCTAGTTGCATGTAGATGGGCAGGAACACCTCCCACTAGGCCAAGTTGCTCCTAGCCCTATCCAACCTCACCTTCAACACATCCAGGAAGGAGGCAGCCACAACTTCTCTGGGCAAATTTTGCCTCCTCTGAGCTTGTTCTCCCTCTTCTCTGAACCATGGTTCCTTTGATTGATTATCAGAAAGAGGGTCATCCATCCCATGAGCTGGCATCCTCCTGGGTGCAGGAGCAGGATGAGTGAGGTCCATTCCACCTCTCTTCTAGCAGCTGTGATGGAGGCATCTCATCAGAGCTAGTGAACAAGTGTCCCATGTGAGAGGGGCTTCAGAGGAGAGCTCACCCCAGCATGTCACTGCAAGTGCCCACCTTGACTATTGACCCATCTGAACACCCAGTTGTGCAAGCATTGCCGTGCCTAAAAAGCAAGAAGTAACACAATAAACCTCTTTCTTCTGGGGGAAAAAAAAGCCATGAACTTGGAGCCAGCCATGCAAGTCCTTCTGTTTTCATTTCAGATTTTCCCCTGAATAAACTTTTATAGATCTTAATCCTCCTACTGCTCCTGCAAGCAGAGGAAATAAAGAGAGATTTGTAAAAGGAGATAATAGCTTTTATTATGCTGAGCAATATGGTTGGACAAAGCAAACAAACTTGCCAGGTCATGAGCCTGAGAGATGTAGGAGCCATCTTGCTCCCTCTGGGGTCATGCTATTCCCTGGTGCCCAGCTTTTGTGCTCCTCATCTGGCTTCTTATGATTCCCATAAGCCCCGCAATTTCATCACAGGGTGTTTGGTGGCACTTAAAGCCTCACCAGAGCCTTGAGTAGAAAGCCAACCCACCCATTGGATGTTTTAAAATTGTATTTGAGATATTAAATTATTTTAAATACCCTGGAGGGATTTAAAAGCCATGTAGATGTAGTGCTGAAGAACATGGTTTAGTGGTGGCCTTGGCATTACTGGGTTAACTGTTGGACTTGATGATTTTAAAGGTCTTTTCCAACCAAAATAATTCTCTAATTCTATTATTCTGTTTCTCACTGTTCCTTCTGCCCTCACTATTTGGGAAGTCCACCTTCCAAGACAGGTGTTTATTAATTAATTAAACTGCCAGCCTCAGCTAACTACCCTGTAAATCATTAAGTCCATGTTACAATGAGCCAGGTCGATGGATGCTGGAGTGATGGATCAGGTTCCCCCGGCTGATGTTTGCCCCAGGTTTGGTGCAGCTGACAGTGAATTATGTGCATGGGTGGTTTCTTGTGGGAGCAGAGAATAATTTGGACCATTGCAAATCTTTGAAATAATGGAATTGGTTCTTAAAAAGGTATTTGTGTTTAGCAGAACCTTGGCCACTTACCTGAAGACCTGGCTAACTGGGGAGATCCCAATGGATTGGAGGGTAGCAAATGAAACACCCATCTGTAAGAAAGGCAGAAAGGAGGATCCAGGAAACTATAGACCTGTCAGTCTGACCTTGGTACCAGGGAAGGTCATGGAGCAGATCATCATGAGTGTCATTAGAAGGTGGACAGAGGATAACCAGGGGATCAGGCCCAGTCAGCATAGGTTTATGAAAGGCAGGTCCTGCCTGATGAACCTGATCTCCTTTTATAACCTGATGACCTGACTATTGGAGAAGGGAAAGGCTGTGGATATTGTCCATCTGGACCTCCAAAAAGCATTTGGCACGGTTCCCCACAGAACTCTTATTAAAACCTGGCTGCTCATGGCCTGGATGAGCACACGGTCTGTTGGATCAAGCACTGGCTGGATGGTCAGACCCAGAGAGTGGTGGTCAGTGGAGTCAAGTCCAGCTGGGTGCAGTCATATGTGGTGTTCCTCAGGGCTCAGTGTTGGGACCATTTCTGATTAACATCTTTATTGATGATCTTGATAAGGACATAGAGTGTATCATCAGTAGGTTTGCAGATGACACCAAGCAAGGCAGGAGTGTTGATCTGCATGAGGATGGGGAGGCTCTACAGAGAGACTTGGATAGATCGGATTGTTGGGCTCATGTCAATGGTCTGGGCTTCAACAAGGCCAAGTGTCAGGTCCTGCACTTGGGCCACAACAACCCCAGGCAACGCTCGAGGCTCAGGGAAGTGTGGTTGGAAAGTGTCTGGCAGAAAAGGACCTGGGGGTTCTAATTGACAAGTTGCTGAATACGAGCCAGCAGTGTGCCCAGGTGGCCAAGAAACCCAATGGCATCCTGGCTTGTGTTAGAAACAGTGTGAGCAGCAGAAGTAGAGAGGTGATTGTCCCCCTGTCCTCAGCACTGCTGAGGCCACACCTGGAGTTTCGTGTCCAGGTTTGGGCACCTCAATCCAAGAGAGACATCGAGGTGCTGGAGTGAGCACAGAGGAGGGCAACGAAGCTGGTGAAGGGCCTAGAGAATAAATCTTATGAAGAACCCTTGAAGGAG